CTGAGACATGTTTAATTGTGGTTGCGCCATGGGACCCTGGGGTGGGGTTGTCAACGGCGCTCGCGCTCACGCGCGTGCGAGTGTACGATCAACCCTCAACTACCACCTCAACGATCAACGGTTAATGATCAATGATCTGCTATGTATATTTTAGAGTAAAATAATAATAAATAAGGCTAGCTAATACTTTATATAACCTCCCCTTGCTTCCAATACTGCAGCTACTCTACCAGGCATTGATTTCCACAACTTTTCAAAAAACTCCTCAGGAATTGTCTCCCAAACCAAAAGTAATACTTGTGCAAGCCTCTTCTTAACAGCTTCTTTTCCTCCTGGGGTATCTCCAATCCTTGGATACTGCTGGTGTAATCACTTTTTAAGCTCAGCCCATACATGCTCAATAGGATTTAAATCAGGGGAGTAAGGGGGGTGTTCTACTAATTCAATAGAATTCCTTTCAAACCATTCCATAACACTACAAGCCTTGTGAACAGGAGCATTGTCTTGCTGAAAAAGAATATCTTCAAGTTGCATACCAAAGAAAATCATTTGATGAATTACAGGAAAAAGATGTCTTCTTAAGAGTCTAACATACCTGGTTTTGTTGATATTTTGGGTAATAGGAACCAAAGGACATTTTCTCTTACCCCAAAAGCACCCCCATACCATAAGCAAAATACCCTTATCCTTTTCCTTTAGGTAAATACAGTCTGCAAGCCACTGCTCCCCAGGTTCTCTAAAAACCCACTGCTGCCTTAGATCCCTGGATTTCTCCATACTGTACTCATCACTCCAGATGACTCTCTCAAAATTCTCAGCTGTCCAATTCCTATAAGCTGTAGCCCATCTTAGTCTCTTAGCTATATGGACAGCTTTGAGCTTGGGTCTTGACTTGGCTAGCCATTTCTTGATATTGACATCTCTTCGTACTCTATGCACTATAACTTTGTTAGAGAATCATGTTCTATCACTCAGGTTCAGATGGGTACCAACCAGTAGAAAGAGAAACACCCAGCGCATATTTATCCCTGAAATCTGATCTAGTCATTTTCCGGTTGGATTTGGCAGCCTGGATAATTGTGCAATACTGTTGTTGGCTGAGAATGTGTGTCTGACAGGGACAAGGAATATTATCCAAGGATGGATGCTCACATGCACGCGTGAGGAAGCTTTTAATAGTTGACCATGGTTGGCTAATAATTTGAGCAACCAGAGCAATATTCCGGAGTTAGTGGAAAAATCCAATGATTATGTCTTTTTCCACATTGGTCATTTTAGTTCAAGTGGTCTTTGAGTTTCATTTTTTTGGCTTTGATTTATATCCCGATTGGTTAACCATTGGAAATTCTGAGGAAATTAAAATTAAAGAATTATTCGAATAGAGGATCACAGTATTGTGGTGTAAATATTGTATAGGGCAGGTATTGTATGATTGCGCGATCAGCAAGGTGGCAGTTGGTGAGGTGGCATTTTTAGTGAGGTTGCTTAGTAAGACGATCACGAACACTTCTGACGAGGCACTGTAGTTGAACAATATAGTACTGTACCTGTATGGCCGTTTTCACGACTTTTGGATGCACAGTACCGAACTGTTCAAGAAATGGTGATACTCGTAGCAGAATACCACAAAAAAAAAAAAAAAACGTTAAAGGATTTCGCAGCATGTATGGAATAGTCTGATTTAGTACCGTTATCCCTTAGAAATGTTTCGCTACCCTCTCTTTCTACGGTTTGGTGAGAAACGGATCGTGATAAATGTTTACTGTGCTCCTGGCACTAGCTTACATCCGGAAGGGTATTTAATAGCCTCCCGTTCTGTTGTTGATATCCTGAACATTTCTGGAAGCGAAACAACAACTACTCGAGTATTGGGATTCCAGGGTGCTCGTTCGTCGCAGTGCCGGTACGCGAGATACAAATATTTGTGGGATGCTTGGTAAGAGTATCCAATCCGCTTAAACTACCATATCGAGACATTCTAGTCGGGTTTAAAATTTGGAAACAAGAGGTTAGCCTATTTAGGTAACTGGGAGTAAATCTACGCTGGATATCTCTTCTCCATCATGGCCATTCTCGGTACAGAAATAGATTTTGCGGTATTCTGGGCACTTCTCCTCCTATGAACAACAAGTCTTTTCCCAAAACGGTTACTCGAGTGGACTGGTGTTCCAAATTGTAAAACTAGCCGGAATGTCCTCATAGCTTAGTCGAATGGGAAAGCGGTAGTACCAGGAGCAGGTTAGCACTTGAAGGGGTATGGAATCTTCTACTACCGATGCGGTAAGCACAAGCAGTGTGTCAGCACAAATTTGCGGGAGACTACCGAAGGGGCGATCTTGTGGTGTCCAAGAGACTGCACAACCCCGCTTTCCTTCAGGCTCTCGGAATCCCAGTGCTGGTAGCTGACCGACTCTATCATCCATCTACAATATCCCAAGTAGCAGGGGGGGGGGAAATGTTCCAATCTTTCAGTAAGGATACCAACTCTTTTAAAGGGTCCCGCCGAACACCACTCTGGTACGCTGCCAAGAATGGACACAAGGAAGTGGTGGAGATACTGCTCGGGCGGCAAGATGTCAACCCCGATATACCAGATGACGACGGCGAAACACCACTCTTCTGGGCAGCTGAGGAAGGGTACTCGCTGTGGTGAAAATACTGCTCAGACGGGCCGACGTGGACCTGAACAAATCAAATAACCACGGCCAAACGCCGCTCCATGATTCTGCTTGGGAAGGGCACGAGGGAGTGGTAGAATTACTACTGGGACGGCGGGAGATCAGCCCCGATAGACTGGATAACTACGGCCGAACGCCACTCCGTTGTGCTGCTGAGAATGGGCACGAGGGATTAATGGAAAAACTACTCGCACGGAACGACGTTAACCCTGACAAACCGGATGAAGACGGCCAAACACCACTCTTTTGCGCCGCGGAGAGTGGGGACGAGGGAGTGGTGAGAATACTACTCGGACGTGGCGATGTCAACCCCAACGCATCGGATGACGATGGCGAAACTCCACTCTTTTGTGCCACTGAGAATGGGTACGAGGGAGTGGTGAAAATGCTGCTCGAGCGGGCCGATGTGGACCCCAACAAACTGGGTGACGACGGCCAAACACCACTCTGTTCCGCCGCTAAGTATGGGGAGGAGGTAGTGGTGAAAATGTTACTCGGACGGGGCGACACCGACCCCGAAAAGCCTGACCGATTTGGCCGAACGCCACTCTGGTGGGCCACTGAGGGTGGCCATGCGGGAGTGGGAGTGGTGGCACTACTGCAGTCTCCCGCATCTCCCACCTGTAGCACAGCTTAAGGCCGAGGAAGAATTTCCCCACTTACCTCCTTCGAGTACGGATAACCTACTCCGTATCTGCCATGTCTGCGGAGACCGCAACAGCTACACGAGTATTTCTGCCGGCCGCCGTTGTCTCCCTCCTCTCATTCCAGCTGGGTCTTACGTAGTTTAAACGCCACGTTCTGGTAATTGCCGTCGTTTTTTTTTCATCCGGAGCAAGCCTGCGATAGAAACCAGCTCAACTTTCACTTTCGGTCGAAGCAAATTTTCCGCCGTGGGGGTACACGTGTCCTTTACACCCCCACCCAAACCTATGCAAGGATTCCCTCACTCCGCCGAGTCTAGCAGGATTTGTCACCCTTTGTTTATAGTCTAGTGTTTGGCGTTTGTGGGGGGATGTTTCTACCGTTTCAAGATAAATTTGTGTAGCTTCCTCAGATTTACTTTTATTCTTTTATGGTCGCAAGTCCTATTGGCTCTGGAGGGGAGGGAAGGGGGAGGGGGAAGGGGTTCTGGAGGGGATAAATGAGTGGTAAATGTGCAGAGATCTGGAAGTTGTTTAGATATAGAGGAAAAAAAAAATTTGGAGTGTAAGCATATCTGATACTTATCAGAAGACGCCAAGGCTGGCTGTGACTTGTATCTAACGTATGGTGTTGATTGGTTTCCACTATGGACGTTTAACAAGAGCGGTATCGTACTTAGTGCACGCTGGTGTACTGTACTATACTGTACAGTTCGAGCTTGGTGACAAAATTCGTCAGCACTCCCCCCATTTTACACCAAAAACGGCCGATTTTGGGCACCCACAACTCATCTGGAAACGTGATAGAACTAACGAGGTTAATGTCATAATGTAGGTAGGTAATGACCCAGACTTTCTGGGTAAAAATTATGAGAATTTTCCCACTCCACCAAAATGGCTGAGAGCCTTAGGTCCAGATTGGGCACGGTTGCAATGTACCCCTTGTATGGCAAGCTCGTATAAGAGTGTAAGTACTATTTGACTCCTCGCATTAGTGGTGGTGCTGCACCATGGACATTTACTAATAGATCCTTCCAATTATGGGCGATAATATCTAGATGTCCCTGAAGACTCTAGCAAAAAAATTCGCACCTTTTAGTCGGAGATCCCGCCTGGATTTACGCTAAGCGAAACTATAATTTACATTTCCGGAAGTTTTTGGATCGGGTCTATTATATCTTTATTGAGTTGTGTTTTCTTTTCATATCACTTCTATATTACAGAGTCTCGCATTTATGAATTTTATTTTGCTTCTTCGCCCGGAATTGCCTTTATAGCAGCAATACAGCGCTCGAGTACTCTTTTTACCTACCACTGGAGCCTTACTCATTGGATGGTTTTCCGCTGCTCAGGTTTTTTTGGTTACGGTGGATTTTTCGCATGTTGTATTTACATTTTTTAATCTCACCAGAATTTTTTAACTGTCTGTGCTTCATTTACTCGTACCGCTTATTTATCCCTTTGGAACAGATCTAACGCTAGTGCGTGGTGTATGGCAGACTTTTAACATAGTGTAAGTTTTCAAAATACGTGGATAATTACACACTAGAGCCTTTTAGGGATATTAGCATACGTGTAATATTTACGCACCAGAGGGTGCTAGCGTTGGTATAAAATTTTCCACATATTCCCCCTTCTCCCCTTATTCTTCTCTTTCGTTTATTTCCTCACTTGCTCGCCTCACTCCTCACCCCTTTCCCACAACTCTTAGCAGGTTTGACTCTACACTCCATGCACCATACTTGTCATATTCAACCCTTCGCTTCCCTTCGGTCCACCTGCTTCCCTGAAACCTCTGTTGCGATCGTTGCCATTTCACAGCATTTCCAACAGTCTCGGCCGTTCACTCCGATCCATCACAATGGCCACTTATAGTCTCGTTCAGTTGTTTGGCTGGCTAATACTAGCCAACATTCCCCTAGTATGGTGCCTTCCGGTCAAGGAACGGGGAGGTTACAAGATTTTGAGCGGTGCTACTTGGACGGGTTCGTCCACATCCGTAGTAGATGGCACTGCCTCTGGAACCCCCACTACAGCTCGTCCAAGCCAGGCTACGGCTCCAGCGAGTGCTCTGCAACCTACAAATACTCAGACCTGCAACTTATATGTCGAGTTTTGCAATCGGCGGTATAGTGATATAACTTATGTTGGAGCCCATAACTCACCATTTACGGGCGAAAATAACCTTGCGGTGAATCAAAATTCGGATGTGAAGGCTCAGTTGAATGATGGCATACGCATGCGTATATAAACTCTCTTTTTTCCCTCTCCTCTAGGCTTGCTCTAACGAGGAAGTAGTCCAAGGACAAACACATAGAGTGAACCAAACTATATACTACTGTCATACCAGGTTTGTTGCTGAAAATATTCTCCACCTGGACGTTTTAACTAATTATTTTATCTATCCGTTCAATAGGTGCGATCTGCTCAATGCTGGGACACTTGAAGACTATTTAAAGACAGTCGCGGAATGGCTGCGTGATAACCCTTTCGAAGTTGTCACCATTCTGATTGGGAACGGTAGCTTCCTCAATGTCGGAAATTACAAGGTGCCTTTAGAGAAATCTGGTTTGGCGGAACTTGCATACGTTCCAGAGAAGCAGAGCATCAAAATAGACCAATGGCCAACACTCTCAGAAATGATCCTGATGGGTGTGTATGATGTCTCTGAGCAGCTCGAGTAGACTGAAAGCTGATCTGTAACAGGCAAGCGAGCTGTGGTTTTCATGGACTATAAAGCCGATGAGGACGCCATCCCCTATATTCTGGATGAATTCAAATACATGTGGGAAACACCGTTCTCGCCAACGGATGAAAACTTCCCCTGCACGATTGACCGTCCTTCGGACCAACCCAAGAATGATACACAAGGAAAGCTATACATGGCGAACCACAATCTGAATACCAAACTGTCAATTTTTGGAAAAAGCGTCTTACTCCCTAACACTGATAATCTTAATCAAACCAATGGCGTTTCAGGGTTTGGGTCATTAGGTCTCATGGCAGACAATTGCAGAGGTTTGCTCTCCATTTCTGAGTGGGTGGCACAGCTAACAAAGACGGCAGCCAACTGGAACCGGTACCCAAATTTTCTTCTTGTAGACTTCTATGACATCCCCGACGGCTCCGTCTTCGAAGTTGCTGCCAGAGCAAACAATGTTACATACAGTTCTAGGCAAAAGGGTTCCTGAATATGCTCAGTCAGATGCCAGTGCCAGTGTTCCCAGCCGTCCAGTCCGTCCGTCTTCGGCGTCAGGCAGGACGGGCGACGGCTCATAGTCCGTCTTTTTCAGAGCGCTAGGACGGACTACGCCCGGGAAGGTGAGGACCGCATGGAATCTATTGGACTATAGTCCCAGCGCTTAGACCTCCGGTGCTAGCCAAGTTGAAACTGCGCACCAGAAACGATTTACTATGTATGACCCCGTGAGAAGACATCACTCACGCTGGCAGCCGCTAAACCACCTTCCCCCTCATCCCTCAGCCGTCCTCCATCCCCCTTTCCCTGAACTAAAAAGCCTCACCCTTTAGGGCCCGCCGTCCAGCCCAAGGACGGCCCTCCTGCACTTTGACCGCCCTGGATGGACTACAGATAGCCATCCTGTCTTGTCCAGGGCTCTTGGCACCCCCCCTGGCGGTTAGGAATACTGGATGTCACTTATTCTCACGAACACATTTTCCCCGGGACTGCAGAATGGTGGATGCAGTGGAAGGAGAAAATCCACTGCCTCACCGCTGGCAAAGGCCACAAACCAGCTTTTAGTCCTTCCAACTCTCAGGCCGCCTTATCTCTAATGTTTTCAGGTCTGGTGGGAAACCGCATTGTGGGTTGCTCCTATATGGACTTGCATCAGGGGCTCGGTATAAGGGGAGCTCATTTGCGGCATTTTTTTGTTTGGGGACAAGGATAGGTATTTATTATTAGGGGTTTATTGTAGGTTAGGTGTGAGGGAAGTGAAAGAATCGCTCGTGATGGTGGTAATGATGGACACGGAGTGGAGCACGAAGGTGGGGTGACGGTGTCGGAGAAAGAGCGGACGGGTCAAAATTTCCAGACAGAAAAGTTGGGTTTTGGGTTACGGACATTGAGAGATCAAAGGTTTGTTGGGCGAAAGTCTAGAATATGAAGCCTTGGTAGCATGTGGGGAGGATTGTGTGCTGGGGAGTTCTATTCTGGGGGTATCATACCGACTCTGTTCCACGGCATTCCGATCGGCGGTGGCGGGGGCTTACTGTGCATTTAAAAGTCTAACTTCTCCCATCTTCAGTATAACCGCGCGTGGTTTTTTGCTGATGGCGCATTCTAAGTTTACGGCGAGTTATCCTGCTGCATTGTATTGTATTGTCTCTATGTAAAATTAACGCTCTACCGCTAAGCTTGGGGGAGTGATGATCTGTGGCCCGATTATGGAATAGATTGTAAAATAGCGGAGGAAAGAGTAAGGTAGTGAGTAATACAGTACTGTACAGTACAGTACAGTGGGGGGAAAAAAGCGCATGAGTTTACCACTCGCAGAAACCTTTTTAAGAAAATGTGACAATACCCAAACCCGACAACGACGCTATGGTGTGAGCTATGTATGACTCCCGAAGATAGAGTGTGTATTGGATTTTAACATTTGTGTTCTCGAGATTTTCACGGTGAACCATTTCGTATTGTCAATAAAGAACTATGCAATCTTGAAGTTATCTTGATAAATGATAGGAAAGGACTACATGGTCTTCGATACTTCCTTACCGTACTATCCTTTATTTTTTAAAGAGAGTGGTTCGTGAGCTGTGATGAAGCGCGGCTTTGGACGATTCTTTTCCCTGAACTGCTATTATAATGTTTTCCTCCAGTGCCTGCTTCTAGATGATAGCGCTCAGGCGCGGCAGTGCACATGGACAAGCTAAAGCGGAGTTAAATTTTTTTTTTTGAGGGAGAAATGTATTGCTGGAATCCATCAGTGTTGTCTATGTTTGCAGGTAGGATGCGTCCATGTGGTAATTTCTTTCGCCTTTCGGTTAATTAATTTAGTGGGCAAACCTAGGATCCTGGAGTTGTCTTGGCCTGACAGGAGGCTACTCTATTCATCAGTATATTTTAACGACTCCCTAAATCACCGGTACTGCTTAGGTTAAGTGTCAAAATAAATCTGGCTCGAATGAACTTCTCGATCATTAGAGAGATGGGGTAGGTTTTGACAAATTTAGTGCTCTCCCGTTACACCGCACTTCGCTGTGCTGTATGAGTACCGGTATTGTACTCGTACTGTACGGTACTTGGCGGCCCTGCTGAGTGTCCCCGGTACTGTACCTCTGCAGATCCTGGTACGCGGTTGCGGGAAGCCCCTCCCGATCTGTTATCGACATTACGAGGAACTGGGCTGCGATTCTTAAATTAATGACAACATTATGGAGGTTTTTCGAATGATAAACTCATAAGGCTTGATGTACCGGGCTCGTACTTGTATGTGTACTGTACGAATTTGGCCGATTCCGGCGCAAGCGTCCAAGGATGTTCTCTCCTCAAAGGAGAAAAATTGTGCTATTATGTCGAAGGGTAGCATAGGATAGGTGTAGCGTTTCTTGTGACCAATGCGGTACTATGCTCGCGTTGTTACAGGAAGAGTAGGCCGGTAGGTGGAGATTGATTAGGTGGTCGTAAGGCACCCATGAGGTTGCACAAAAGACCCCGCTTTTCTCCAGCTCCCAGGAATTCAGCAGTCGACCAACACAATCATCCATCATCGACAACATCCTGCGCGGCAAAAAACAGAAAATGTCCCAATCTATCAGCAATAATATAAACTCTTTTAATGTGTCTAATAACTTTACTGTTGCCGATGACCGATCTAATATCCTATGCTGGCTGTCCCTACTGGATCCCAGATTGCGAAACCAGGATATCCAAGCCCACCGAGTCGAAAGGGTAGGGGAATGGTTATTACGAACCGAGGAATTTAGAAGTTGGTACACGGGCAGCGAGGGAGGCGGATCCGATAAGACAGTCCTGTTTTGCTATGGTGATCCGGGGGTGGGCAAGACCTTTATTAGGTAACAAGGACGGACCTCAAGGAATTGAAGGAAATTAGCGAGTGCTGACAAGCCACAATGCTAGTTCGCTGGTGGTGGACACCCTGTGTGATCAGGCTGGAGAACAAAATGCTACCGTTGCATGCTTTTATTTCGACTTCGCAGCCCAAAAAGAGCAGTCCCCAACGAGCATGCTAGGTTCCCTACTGAGACAATTGGTTTGCGGACTAACGGAGACGCCGGAGGAGATATCGCAGGCGTATCAAAACCAACAAAATGGTATTGGTGGGCGGGTCCCGCAACTTTCCGATCTTGTGAAGATGATGCAGACCACCTCTTCCAAAAAGCAGCGCACCTTCATATGCATCGACGCTGTGGATGAATGTGTGGAAGGATTTCGAGTCAAGCTCCTTGATTCGCTAAATCAAATTCTTCAAAAGTCTCCAGGAACTCGGATATTCGTGACAGGGAGACCTCACATTGGACCAGAGATCGCAAGGGGTCTTGGTGGGAGGGTAACGGGTGTGACCATAAGTCCCAAGGGGGATGATATTATTAGATATCTTCATAGCAGGCTGCACGAGGATACAACTCCAGATGCGATGGACAGTAGCCTAGAGGCAGACCTCCTGAGGAAAATTCCGCAAGATATTTCTGAAATGTAGGTAGAGCCAACGCCTCTGCTCGAGTTGTATAATAACAGATACATATCTAGATTCCTACTAGTCTCACTTAATATCGATGCGATCCTACAAGAAACCACAATCCATCGCAGGCGACAAAAGCTGAACACAATGACTGACGGGTTGGGGTTGGGGGGTGCTTATGGTGCAACGCTGGATCGGATAAAGGGACAGGGTGGGGAGAAAGCGAGGCTCGGCATGGCCGCCATGATGTGGATCTCGCACTCGGAACGGCCCATGAAGCCAGATGAACTGTGCCACGCCCTTGCGGTTGAAATAGGGTCGCCGAATCTCAACCCCGACAACGTTCCTTCAATTGGGACATTGATAAAGTGCTGCCAAGGGCTTGTTGCTGTAGACAAGGAGGCTTCCACGGTCCGGTTAATCCACTTTACCCTTCAGGAATACCTCCGGGCTCATCCTGAGCTCTTTGGTAAAGCTCACTCGATTATGACAGAAATCTGCCTAAGTTATCTGAATTCCCAACAGGTCAGAGCTCTTTCTGCCAGTACCCCTCTCGATCTCCAGGGCATTCCTTTCCTCGAATATTCCTCACTATATTGGGGAATTCACGCAAGAAGGGACCTTTCAAATTGCGCCAGGTTGCTTGCGCACGAGCTATTTGACGTTTACAAGTACAGCAACCACATATCCGTCAAGGTCCTCTTGAGCGCAGTGCGGTGGATTTCTTGGGGTGTAGATCTCGATAAACTTTACCTGTTCAGTGGCCTACACTGTGCATCCTACTTCGGGATCATTGAGATTGTAGCTGACTTGGTAGAGGTGGAAGGTTGTGATATCAACCAAAAAGACTGCTTGGGTGGGACACCTCTTGTCTATGCTGCATTGAATGAGCAAGTGGAAGTCGTAGAAACACTACTTGGACGGGGCGGGGTCAACCCCAACACACCAGATAACGGCGGCCGAACACCGCTGAATTATGCCGCTTGGAGTGGGCACGAGGGTTTGGTAAAAATACTACTCGGGCGGGACGACGTCGACCCCAACAAACCAGACAACAACGGCCTAACACCATTATATGGTGCTACTGCGGCTAGGGAGGAGGGAGTAGTGAAAATGCTACTCGGACGGGACGACGTCGACCCCAACAAACCAAACAACAACGGCCTAACACCACTCTATTTTGCTACTATGAATAGGGATGAGGGAATTGTGAGAGCGCTACTCGACCGGGACGACGTCGACCCCAACAAACCAAACAACAGCGGCCTAACACCACTCTATTTTGCTACTATGAATAGGGATGAGGGAATTGTGAGAGCGCTACTCGACCGGGACGACGTCGACCCCAACAAACCAGACAACAACGGCCTAACACCACTCCATTTTGCTATTATGAATGGGGATGAGGGAATTGTGAGAGCGCTACTCGACAGGGACGACGTCGACCCCAACAAACCAAAAAACGACGGCCTAACACCACTCTATTTTGCTACTATTCATAGGGATGAGGGAGTAGTGAAAATGCTACTCGGACGGGACGACGTCGACCCCAACAAACCAGACAACGACGGCCGAACACCACTCTATTTTGCTACTATGAATAGGGATGAGGGAATGGTGAGAGTGCTACTCGACCGGGATGACGTCGACCCCAACAAACCAGACAACAACGGCCTAACACCGCTCTGGTGGGCCTTTACCCATGGCCATGCAGAGGTGATAGCGTTACTACAGTCCCCAGCACCCACCACCCCAAGCGCAACCGAAGGCTGAGGAGGAATCGCCCTCCTTGTCACTCCCGAATACAGGTGGCTCGTGTGTCTTGTCAGCACGCATCGCAATTGGTCCATGAGCATGTTTGTCGCGCCCATTAGCTCCCTCCTCTCATCAGCGCCCAGCCTCCTCGCGTAGTTCGAAACCCCGTTCTCTGATAATTGCCGTCTTTCTTTCCTTTATGAGCAGTGTGAGACCTACGATAGAGACTCAGCTCAAACATCCTCTTTTGGCCGCGTGAAGTCATACGTGGTGGGAACACACATATATTACATACCTGGCCAAAGCTCTGTACAGATTTTCTTATATAGTCAAGTCAGGATTAGTCAGTTTCCGTTTTTAACATAGAGTTTAGTGTTGTTGGCTAGAGTGTATTTTTGCTGTATTGAGATAAGTTGGTGCGGCTTGAAACTTCCATTATATTTACACTTATAGTTGTTTCTGTCTGTAAAGCCTCCTTACACATTTGGTTCCCCTTATTTTTGCTATCATACAATTGCTTCTTTCGCCGCCCCTCAATCCTGAATCGGGGGGACTAAGGTTTTTTTTTTGGAGATTATGGGGGAGGAATATAAAAAAGAAAGGCTTCTGACACCTGTGTAAAGCGAGACAAAGGCTAATTTTTAACAACTCGTTTATGGTATGGTGGTGATTGGCTTCCACTGTTCCCAGTGAGACCAAAAGCCCCGACGCCAGAGTTCAAATCACCTGAGGGTCATGGAACCAACAACAACCAAGAGAGCGGCTTTAGCAACGAAATCCACCTACCCTCACAAGGCCGCGTACTCGTAATTTTGAAGCTATAATACACCATTCCATAAATTCTGTGACCTGAGACTTTTGATAAACCCTCCTACCCTACCTCGTTGGTATCTCTGTCCTCACCAGCATTTTGATAATGACAGTGCTATCATTCCCGTCAGAAGTTCTGCAAGGAGCCTGACTCGACACTATTGTTAATCACCGGTGCATACCGATGATCTGGCTAAAGTGTTTGTGGCAAGGTGTTCATTAGAGGAGACATGTCTGGTCGTTTGGGAATAGTGAGAATTGTGGCAACGTGGTACAATCACCAGAAAGG